CTGTCACACACACACACACACACACACATATACACACACACACTCCCTCACACTCTTATCCTGTCACTTGACATGATCCACTGCAGGAATCCATAGTTTCCCTCTAAGTGGCGGGGACAGATGTGCAGCAGCAGATAACCACAGACCTGATAGGTGGAATGAGTAGACTCAGTGTAACTGCAGCGATTCTTTCAGTTTTCACAAGTGAAGAGTTTCCTCAGGAGAACGCTCCCATCTGCTGCTGACAGAAACGGAGCAGCCAGTTATAATAACGGGAACCACGAGAGGAGGAGATATTAGCATTTGTCTCCCTGAGCTTTGGTGGTTAGCTGTGTGTGTGTGTGTGTGTGTGTGTGTGTGTGTGTGTGTGTGTGTGCCCCCCCTCCATACCTGCTCACTCAATATGACTCATTTACTTGATTGGAGAGCTGCAGGTTCTTACGCTCGTATCAGTTACCTGGTGATGCTCATTGATTCGTTCCATAAGCTGCAACAAGCATCTCTCGTTTTTCTTCATTACTGACGGGAGCTTTCAGTTCTAGTTCACATGGATCATGATTCAACACCATATATTCACCACAGCGTCTCATAGCTGCACAGTAACAGAGACCAGCGGTTCCCAGCCGAGTCCAAGTTAAATCTGATTAAAGGGACGACACCAAAACATTTACATAATTGTGACTTCTGTGATACTTTCACCTCCTCGGTTCTCCTAATGTTTCTACTTTGTAGAAAACAGAAAAAAATCTCCGCGTCCACAGTCGAGCTGCGATAAAGATGTAAATGTATTTCGTTAAAAGGTCACGTGCCACAAATCTTCCAAACCAATGACAAACATAGTCAGAAAATGTTTATTCTATTTAATAAATATGTTTTAAGTAGCTGGAGATTTGTTGCTGCTGAGATTTCGCCTGCTTTACATTTTGAGTGGCAGGGGACCAAGCCAGTGTAGAAATGCCCCCCCCCCCCACATCAGTGTCACTCATACGTCCGTCCCTCAACGATTTCCCATAGAGCTGTCAAATCTTTATGTGTGAGAGCAGGAACCCTCAGAGGGATGAAGTTACAGTGTTAAACCAGTTAAAACCTCTAATTATGATAAATTCCTGAGACGGACGTTATGTGATATGTTTCATAAGAAGC